TATATATCTCAGCCAACTTGTCCAGAGACATCTTCATCGAAACGGGTAAGAAATGCACGACCTTAGTCAGTCTGTCGACCACGACCCAGATAGCGTCGTGATGTTCAGACGACCTCAGTAATCCCGTAACGAAATCCATGGTGACTTCCTCCCACTTCCACCTCAGAATCGGCAGTGGCTGTAGGAGGCCAATCGGACTCTGATACTCGGCTTTGACTTGCTGACAGGTAAGACACCTCCTGACGAACTCGGCGACGTCCTTTTTCATACCTCGCCACCAGAACGACCCTTTCAGGTCGTGATACATCTTTGTGCTCCCGGGATGGGCCAGATAGGGTGCGGTATGTGCCTCTGATAAAATCTCCTTCCGCAACGCCTCGACCTTCGGGACCACGATCCTGCCTCTGAACTCCAAGGCACCATCGGTACCTAGCTGAAAATCCTGGACACCTCCGGCGCGAACCTTGGCCTCCATAACACGAACAAACTCGTCAGAAGCCTGCTCTCGCCGGATTCTCTCTCTTAGTGTCGGTTGAAGCTGCATAGCGCTGACACTGGCACTGGTACTCCCCGAGACTGCTATGGGAAGTGCATCTATCGCCTGAAGCTGCATCCGGGCAAAATCATGAATCAACGGACTCTGTTGCGTAATGACGTACGTCAAGTCACCCTTCACCTTTCGGCTTAGGGCATCCGCGACGACGTTCGCCTTTCCCGGATGGTACTGGATAGAACAATCATAATCCTTGACAAGCTCAAGCCAACGGCGCTACCTCATATTAAGCTCCTTCTGCGTAAAGATATACTGCAGGCTCTTATGATCTGTGAAAATCTCGCAGCGTCCGCCATAAAGATAATGTCGCCAGATCTTAAGGGCGTGAACGACTACTGCTAACTCCAAGTCGTGCGTAGGATAGTTCTGCTCATGAGGCTTAAGCTGACGTGAAGCATACGCGACGACCTGGCCGTCCTGCATAAGGACACATCCCAAGCCCTGTCTCGAAGCATCGCTGAAGATAGTGAAACTCCGAGAAGGATCGGGAATAGTCAACACCGGTGCTGAAGTTAACCTCCTCTTGAGCTCCTCGGAAACAGTAAAACTGGAATATACAAGCTTAACTTAAAGCTTATACTTATTGATTGCATGACTTGAGAATCCAGTAATTTAATACTGAATAAAAGACTTGATCTGAACTGAAGATACATCAATTCACAATTAAGTGAATTGTAGAATACTGCTGACTGAAAATGGACACTTTTCTTAAAGAAAGTGTTCCACTGATAAGACATGATCTCAAAACGAACTCTGAAATATGTTGGTCATCCTCTCCTGGCTGCTGGCGGTTCTCCAATCGAAATGCTGGTGGTGAAGACTCTCTCTGTAATCTCCCAGTGTACTGAGACTCAGGCATGACATCTTTGAATGGAAAGCGTCGGTTTACCATCATGGCACGATCCGTTGTTGTTGATTGGCTCTTCTTCATCGCGGCGAATGTCAACCTGTGGTACCTGCAACTTTTTACTCCCTCCGAGGTTAAACTTAACCTCAAGAAGAAGTCCCTCATGACTTAATATCTCCCACGATTTCTCAGATTCTTCAGACTTTGAGAATCGAGACGCTGACATACTGAAAATGGTAGATAAGTCTTGTCTTACCAGACAGACTATCCTCGATCTTAACATGAATGGCCTGAATACTCTCATGACTGAATAACCATGACTTGACTCTCACATGACTGAATCATCTTTGTTCGAACTCTAAACACTATCCCGAGACAACTTAAATAGTCGCTTCGAGATTGAAAACGTGATATTTACTGACTTACT